TTTTTATTCCCATGTTTGCGATGCTAATCCGTAGGTGACACAGTTGTGAAGCAATTGCTTGGCCGTCAGACAATTTTGATTACTAAATGTTGGTCTCCATCTACGATGTGTATATATCGTCTATCCACGGTATATGTCCAAGAATAGGAATTTATATTTAATTATTCCTAAAATGGAAAACAACAAGTATGATGTATAGAATCGAAATATTTGTGACAATAATCAGAAAACAATAGAAGAAATAAAGGATATGGAAGAAGACACTTTGCTTGAAGCTGAGAAAATAAGGAGACACTATGAACAGATTTTCCCATACAACTTCTGAAAGATGGTTTTTAGTCTAAATCAGTCAACACTCTAAAGACTGGAATACAAAAGATCCAATATTAATCCACCAGTTATACAAGCGTCTTTCAAGTCATTAAATAAATGTGGGTACAACAATAGGAAAGTTACATATTAAGAGACTGTACATTTATGGAGAAGGAGCAGGCAAAATCATCACATCTCTTATAGATTTTCTTTACCACAGCCATAACTTAGGTTTGGCTCATTCATTGTCCTCTTTTAACTAAAACTTGCAACAAATCTCCTAATATAAGCATTGCCTGTAATATATATATATATATATATATATATATATATATATATATATATATATATATATATATATATATATATATATATATATATATATATATATATTGCAAATTTTTCTAATATATATATATATATATATATATATATATATATATATATATATATATATATATATATATATTAGAGCAACGAGTGTGATACTTTAACGCAGCTACTGAGTTTAAATAATGAATATTCTTCGAAGTCTTTGACAACCTTGACTTACATTTTTTCCAGCCAATTATTTTATGGTTTCCAGTTTATTAAAAAAAAATCATCTAGGTTTTGTCTCTCGAGCAAAATATTTTGATATTATATAATACATATTTGCATTCATTTCTATAGCATATTTGTGCTTTTGAACTATTCATTGTGATTGCTCTCCTTGTAAAATATTGAAAATGCACGTTGATTGCCAATTTTTAAATACCTGTACAAAATTTAATTTTATACCACAAGCTAAGCCTTGCTTTTTTATTCTTATCCTTGTCTTTTCGATGCTTAAAAAGCATCGATGAACATCTTTTTAATTGCCAATTTAGTTTCAAATTTAAGCGTGGCGTCTTACACACGTTCTCTTTAATTATGAAATAATTAGTTTCTCATTATAGCTATTTGCATATAGTTCTCGACCCTTTCTTACGTCTTTAAACCTCATGCGTGGATCGTTCAGTGAATATATGATAATGGCGGAAACAGTATTTTGTGGCATGCACAAAAATGTTAGCATGGCAAATCATATTTGAAACACCTTGAACAAGATTACGGTATTTTATCAATGACAAGAAGTGTTGAATGTACAGTATATATGACATAAGGGAATTGTGTGCCACTGTCCTCCAATAGAAGATAATAACAATTTTTTTTTTATTATATAAAGCTCGTGTCTGATAGTTACCATGCAGTCCGGGAGTTTTTTTTTTTGTTTTTGTTTTGCTTATTTTCATTGGTTTTCTTATCTTGCTGAGGAAATATCTTTCCCTTCCATTTGCATATGTACACTATCAGAACTATTACGACTATCATCAGTATCATCATCTAGCTATAATTCTGTTTCTATTTATTTCATACTAACACGTATGTCTCCATATATTATTTATCTGCCTATTTATAGATCTATCTATTCATGAACTGTTGCATATATTCACAAAACCTGAAAAGTTTATGTACAAGTTGAAAGTTTGTTCGTAAAAGTTCATTTCGCCAGTTTGGCAACCTATAAAAGAATTAAGCATCACCGTCACCCAAATTAAACAACAAATTGATTTGCAACATACAAATATGCCGTATGGAATTATATTTCTGACACTGGAAAGCAAAGTATACTTGACATTTCTATTCAGAATTCACAGCTTAATAAATCAAAAATATTGAAATATTTATAGCCAAACAGATCTTTGGTAGCAAAGAATGTAGCTCAGGGGAATGGCACAGTTGTCATGACCAGAGATTAGTATATTTTGGAAACTGAGAGACACGCTAATGAACTGGAATCTATCAGCGTAATTTGCACCAGTTTATCATAACATAGTATTTTAAATCAGTCGTGAACCTGAGGAGTTACGTAATAGCAAATTTTCTTTACCAAAACGAATCAGACTTTTTGAGTATGAATGATTTCAGGAACAAGATCCTTTTATTCTTTTGCCGAAAATTCACAGACTTGTGATAAACTGGATTATACCAAAGGAATTTCCGTAAAGGCTACCCAATGTTTTAGATTATTCAAATGAAACTGTGCATTTCATTAAATATCAGAGTCCAAAATATCGAGTAATCCAAATGAGTTACAGAGGTATTCTGATGAAGTTTACTCTTTTGTGATGATGTGCATATAGTCTTGGTTTATCATAATAATACTAATATAATTCAAAATATCATTAAATGAATGCACAGTAATTCTAATACAGCTACTCAACCCAAATGTCTGAGCACTCTGTAAATCCAACGAATAATTGAAAGAATAAATAAGATCCTCTCAAATGATCAAAACTATATAACCCTTCTAAGACTGATGTTAATGCTAGGAAATTATGTCTTATATTTTAAAAAAAGTTACTTCAAAACCAAAAATTCATTCATAACTTACAAGCAATGTCAAGTACTTTAACCACTAGCCAAACAGTAGCTCGGTCAACCTGGTGTCTCAAGAACAAATGACATGGATCCAAATCACATGATGTTTACTGGATTAAAAGTACAGCTCACTACTTTGAAAGTAAACAATGTGCTTAATAATGATTTTATCTTAAAGTACAATCATAAAGAGTACTACTATTTAATATGTTAATTACTTAATGACCCTTACAATCTATACTCATGGAAATAAACACACATAATGTAGATATACATAACAATACGATGGCATATTTCAAGGAAAATTACACCCAATAACAACATACCATTTCAGAGCTTTATTCTTTTAAATTTTTTTAAAAGTACATTTTGTGCAAGACTACTGAAATCGATTCATCTTTTTAATCTATCCTTAAAGTGTAACATTTATTTAAAACACGGAATGAGTCTTTGTGCGTGTTAAAGGTTTAAAACGAAAAGAAAGAAATATCTGAATGAGTCTTTGTGCGTGTTTAAGGTTTAAAACGAAGAGAAAGAAATATCTCGACAGAAATTAATTTAAAATTTATTACACTATTTACTATTTGTTTCAGGAGCCCCGAGTGGCCGAGTGGTCTAAAGCGCTGTCCGTTACGGATCACTGCCATCTCACCTCTGTCTGCGTGTGTTCGAGTCTAGGATTCGGCTAATGTAGATATGTGAGAAAGCTTGCCAGTAGCTTCTCGTGGGTCGGTGGTTCTTTCCGGTGATTTCCCGGTTTCTTCATCCACCAATAATACTGGCCGCCATGAATAGCCTATCGTGTGCTGAAAAATGGCGTTAAACCCAACAACAAACAAACAAACAAACTATTTGTTTCTGTCATTCTTTTCTTTTCTTTACACGTTTTTCTATTCTTTTGAAATCCCACAGTTCGATGGAGTTTGTTATGTATATCTAAATTATTGACCTTGGTCAGTTATTGAATTTAGGGCCTACTTAACTATTCCCATCTTTCTGTCTTGTTATTTTGCAAACAACATATTGCATCGCTAATATTTCTAAGTGAACCTAGATTACATATTTAGATCATTATTATTGTTGAAGGTAAAAATAATTACTGGTGTTGACTTCAATGATTAGCTTACTGAGAAACTAACAACATTCTTGAAGCAAGTTGTTTGTGAATTTAATAAAAATTCCATTAAAATTAGAGTATTACCCGAAAATGATTATTGCAGCATAGTTCTAGTGTCGAGGTATATAAAGTTGTTTATTTCGAAATTACGAAATCCTACCTTAACATTCGAAGTAGAATCAGTCTTATTCATGTATATTGCAGAGGATTTATTTCATTGGTTTGTGCAATAGATTTACAAGTGTTAGTCTGGATATCACACCAAAAGAACAGCTAACATATCTGCATCTGTTTTCTCTAATAATTTCCCTTCCGTATCCCCTGAGTTATTGCCAAAAAGGAAACACAAATGATTACTGGTAGAATATAATTTGCCTCATTGCCGAGTGCATGCATACTAATTCTCACATTTATCCATTACATATGTGATCTGTATTAACAGTGGAAGATTTCTTAGTAGCAATGGTGGACTCCATATGACTCTTAAAGAAAGTCACATGCTGGATTGACACAAGGGAAACAACCCTCTATTGACATAAAACTGGAAAGATATTACGTATGTTTATGTTTGCTTATGAAAACCTTGCATAATTTTAAACAACACTACACGTTTGTTTCAAAACCTATAACAATTTGCCAATTCGTTTAAAATTCGGAGTTCACTATGAGCAAAAATATGCAATGGTCCTGGGCTTGCTCAATTTGTTTACTTTAGCACACCCTCTACTTCAATAAGTTTAATCGAATGAAAGGATTTTCCTGTAATTTAGGAAAGGAAGATCCAAAGTTCCAATTTATCAAGATCGTTCACAAATAAAACACAAAATGATGACATTAAATTGGAAAAATAAACAAAGTAAAAATATCTCTTTCAAGAGAAAGATGTCATGCTAGTTTAATAGGTAGGTGTAAAGAATTATGTGTGCATGTGTGTGTGTGTGATTTAGATTTTTAACGTAGCTTTAACAATTTTTCAGTCATATATCTACGACGTCTGTAGTGTGACAGTTTATAGTGATGTCTAGCACTGAGGCATCATGCCGCAGACATATGGCATGATTTCCCACCCAGTTCCATTATCCTGATACCAGGTCGACCAGTCCCAACACTAAACTCTTAATGCTGAGCGCCATGCGAGGCAGCTGTTAGTACCATTCTGTAAAGTCTTTGGTATGACACCGCTGAGGTTCGAACCCGCGACCTCCCGCATCTGAGGCTGACGCTCTAACCACTAGGCCATCGGACCGATGTAAAGAATTTTTGCAACCTTTTGGTACACAAGTCATATTGAACCCCGGTATTACTATGGCAATAGAAAAGACGGCAAAAGGTTCGAGGGTAATAAAACGAGAACCACGACAAGAAATTCAATTGTGGTCTGAGAAATACTTGTTGTCTGTCGAACCAATAATTCTTTTTGAACCACTTCAGAGAGAGAGAGAGAGAGAGAGAGAGAGAGAGAGAGAGAGAGAGAGAGAGAGAGAGAGAGAGAGAGAGAGAGAGAGAGAGAGAGAGAGAGAGAGAGAGAGAGAGAGATTTTTCCTTTGCTAGCTAATCTATTACGCTCGCCAGATCAAGTTCACTCAGCTTGCAGATTTCGCCATATCTGGAAATAAGGGTACAATCAATTAAACAAATTAAACAAATCGAAATTAATGTTACAGTTTAATCACATGCATGTTTCTCTAGCATGGATTTCACACTGGATACTTGCACTAAATGGTCCAGTTGAGGCCGGATTATTTGGTCCAATGGAGACTCTTCATACAATGATTTAATGACCACGTGTCCATCAGTGCCATCTTGTCGGGGAACTGGTTGCTGTTGTCTGATTGGCCATGTACTGATACTGACTGATGTAATCATGCTCAGGTAGAAATGGTTAGAATTGTCTATTTAACATACTTTGACAAACTCTTAATCATTTTATTTTCGTTAGATGTACCATTTAATTTTAAATATTGACCAGTTTATTATCCTACGTTCACTAAAGAAAGAGCAGAAAAACGCTATGCAAACTTAAGTATGATCAGCCAGTTTTCATGGCGTCTTCCCTGTTATACCTCTATAAACGTAAATAAATAAATTAGTTTGGTTTTGGCTTAATCCTCTTCGTGCCTAGTTGGCACATAGGGCGTCCATCACTGCCCTCCATCGGTCCCTGTCCTGTGCCACTTTCTTTGCTTCTCCCTACGATAGTTTCATGGTGTTCAGCTCGGCATTTAGTGCTCTTCTCCATGTATTTGCAGGGCGTCCTCTATTTCTCTCTTTCTTGGGGATTCCACTTTAGGGCGTGCTTATCGATGTTACTACTGCGTTTTCTCCATGTATAGCCCACCCATCGCCATTTCCTTCAAGATATGGTTACGATGATAGGCTCTTGCTTTGTCCTTTTCCAGAGTTCTTCATTGGAACTTTCTCAGGCCACCAGATGAGAAGGATCTTTCTCAAGCACTTGTTGATGAAGACTTGGATCTTCTGGTCCAGAGCCTTCTCTCCACTCTGCTCTCCTCTATAGTCATCGACTGGGTTATGAAATGAAGCGTTGACAGACCACCGGAACGGGGATCCATTGGACCATGATGAATAGGCTCGAAGGTCCAGACTTTGCTGATGACATCTGCCTCCTGTCACATACCTGGGGATACATGCAGGAGAAAATGACCTTGTTACAAGAAACTGCTAGCAAAGTAGGTTTATCCATCAATGGCAAGAAGACCAAGTCTATGCGCATGAATGCTCAGCAAACTGACCCCATCACTTTGGAAGGACAAGCACTGGATGATGTGGAAGTATTCACCTATCTTGGAAGTGAGGTGAGCAACAAAGGAAGAACAGACGAGGACATCAAAACCAGAATCTGCAAAGCACGTAACACCTTCGCCATGCTCAAGTCAATCTGGACCAGCAGGAAACTCAGCCTCGACACCAATATACGCATATTGAACACCAAGGTGAAGACAGTGTTGCTCTACGGCTCTGAGTCAACTAAATAAATTGTCAGCCCTGAATGAACTGTGAAAGTGTATATTGGTCAAACCTAAAGTTCAATTCTTCTAGCTCGTAGTTTGAATGATTGTATTTATTTTCTATCTTACTCCCCACGTCTCACTCGCATGCACTCAACAAGATCGGAAAATTCCTGGTTAAAAAGAAAAACAAACTTGAACTATCTAATCTGGTTGATGACTTTCGTGATATTACCTGTCAGATACCAGAATTCGACAACAGACATGTAAACTTTATACATGTTTATCGACTTTGATAATTATAATTATTACCTGAAATAATAATAATAATCTCTCTCTCTCTCCCTCTCTCTCTCTCTCTCTCTCTCTCTCTCTCTCTCTCTCTCTCTCTCTCTCTCTCTCTCTCTCTCTCTCTCTCTCTCTCTCTCTCTCTCTCTCTCTCTCTCTCTCTCTCTCTCTCTTAAATTAAATGTGAAAAAGTATATCGGTAAAACCAACAAAATGCATTTTTCTAGTTAGTAGTATATCTTCCTTACTCTCTGGTGGTTCCATTTAACCCAGATCACAACAATCAAGCAGGGAAGTGGGTATTCGAGGACCTCAGCTCACTAAAATCTTTAGGTCTGCATCACTCACTTTGACCAAAGTATGCTAGAAAAAGACATTCAATATTCAAACACTGCTGTGCTGTTTGACTAATTCATCTTAGAAAAGACAGTCAATATTTGATTATTATTTTTTTGTCTTCAGTATATAGCTCATAACAAATGCATTTTTTTTAAAAAGCTAAATTGACAGCAATGGAATTGGTAATATATTCAAATTCGAGAAAAGCATTATCTCACAGTATTTAGTGCTGAATGGACATTTTATGCGGAATATGCAGGAAAAATATGGTAACCAAAATTTAAATAACAAAACGCGGCTAAAGCAGTATAATAATAATAATAATAATAATAATAATAATAATAATAATAATAATAATAATAATAATAATAATAATAATAATAATCAATGAAACTTATATTTATAGTAAATACAATGTAGTTATTCAAATGACCTTTTATTTAGAGTTAGTTTGCTGAGGCGAGTTATTGTGCACACGGTATTATTATCACCTGTAAAAAATTTCATCAAGAAGAAGAACACAAAAAGCACTACAACAAAACTAATTAAAGTATTTCTATAAAGATCTGGTAAGATTATAGCGTTAATAAATTAATCTTTCGGAATTCAATGGAATACATATATTCTCTTATTATGATTTTTTATTCCCATGTTTGCGATGCTAATCCGTAGGTGACACAGTTGTGAAGCAATTGCTTGGCCGTCAGACGATTTTGATTACTAAATGTTGGTCTCCATCTACGATGTGTATATATATCGTCTATCCATGGTATATGTCCAAGAATAGGAATTTATATTTAATTATTCCTAAAATTGAAAACAACAAGTATGATGTATAGAATCGAAATAGTTGTGACAATAATCAGAAAACAATAGAAGAAATAAAGGATATGGAAGAAGACACTTTGCTTGAAGCTGAGAAAATAAGGAGACACTATGAACAGATTTTCCCATACAACTTCTGAAAGATGGTTTTTAGTCTAAATCAGTCAACACTCTAAAGACTGGAATACAAAAGATCCAATATTAATCCAGCAGTTATACAAGCGTTCTTCCAGTCGTTAAATAAATGTGGGTACAACAATAGGAAAGTTACATATTAAGAGACTGTACATTTATGGAGAAGGAGCAGGCAAAATCATCACATCTCTTATAGATTTTCTTTACCACAGCCATAACTTAGGTTTGGCTCATTCATTGTCCTCTTTTAACTAAAACTTGCAACAAATCCCCTAATATAAGCATTGCCTGTGATATATACATATATATATATATATATATATATATATATATATATATATATATATATATATATATATATATATATTGCACATTTTTCTAATATATATATATATATATATATATATATATATATATATATATATATATATATATATATATATATATATATATATATATATATATATATATATAAATATATATATATATATATATATATATATATATATTAGAGCAATGAGTGTGATACTTTAACGCAGCTACTGAGTTTAGATAATGAATATTCTTCGAAGTCTTCGACAACCTTGACTTACATTTTTCTCCAGCCAATTATTTTATGGTTTCCAGTTTATAAAAAAAAAATCATCTAGGTTTTGTCTCTCGAGCAAAACATTTTGATATTATATAACACATATTTGCATTCATTTCTATAGCATATTTGTGCTTTTGAACTATTCTTTGTGATTGCTCTCCTTGTAAAATATTGAAAATGCACGTTGATTGCCAATTTTTAAATACCTGTACAAAATTTAATTTTATACCACAAGCTAAGCCTTGCTTTTTTATTCTTATCCTTGTCTTTTCGATGCTTAAAAAGCATCGATGAACATCTTTTTAATTGCCAATTTAGTTTCAAATTTAAGCGTGGCGTCTTACACACGTTCTCTTTAATTATGAAATAATTAGTTTCTCATTATAGCTATTTGCATATAGTTCTCGACCCTTTCTTATGTCTTTAAACCTCATGCGTGGATCGTTCAGTGAATTTATGATAATGGCGGAAACAGTATTTTGTGGCATGCACAAAAATGTTAGCATGGCAAATCATATTTGAAACACCTTGAACAAGATTACGGTATTTTATCAATGACAAGAAGTGTTGAATGTACAGTATATATGACATAAGGGAATTGTGTGCCACTGTCCTCCAATAGAAGATAATATCAATATTTTTGTTTTTTTTTATTATCTAAAGCTCGTGTCTGATGGTTACCATGCAGTCCAGGAGTTTTTTTTTTTTTTTTGCTTATTTTTGCTCATCATCTAGCTATACATCTGTTTCTATTTATTTCATACTAACACGTATGTCTCCATATATTATTTATCTGCCTATTTATAGATCTATCTATTCATGAACTGTTGCATATATTCACAAAACCTGAAAAGTTTATGTACAAGTTGAAAGTTTGTTCGTAAAAGTTCATTTCGCCAGTCTGGCAACCTATAAAAGAATTAAGCATCACCGTCACCCAAATTAAACAACAAATCGATTTGCAACATACAAATATGCCGTATGGAATTATATTTCTGACACTGGAAAGCAAAGTATACTTGACATTTCTATTCAGAATTCACAGCTTAATAAATCAAAAATATTGAAATATTTATAGCCAAACAGATTTTTGGTAGC